CTCTTGTTGCATAGCATGAATAAATGAAGAGATGAGGGAGGAGGCGCTACCAGTAACAATGATGTCATCAACATAGAGTAGAACAATCAGAACACCGGAGGGAGAGTGCTTAACAAAGAAGCTTGTGTCATGTTCATTTTTCCCAAATCCATAGTCAGTAAGGAAGCCGGAGAGACGTTGATACCAAGCTCTAGGCGCTTGTTTCAAACCATACAAGGATTTCTGTAGTTTACACACATGATGAGGGTAGCGCTCATCGATATAACCTGGAGGCTGCTTCATATAGATTTCATCAGGAATAACCCCGTGAAGAAAAGCATTGGAGACATCTAACTGATGAAGAGGCCAGTTGTGATTCACAGCTAGGGACAAAACCAACCGAATAGTCTGCTGTTTAACAACTGGGCTGAAGGTCTCAGAGTAATCCAAGCCATATTCCTGTGTATATCCCTTTGCCACTAGACGGGCTTTGTACCTGGAAACAGAGCCATCAGAGTTATGTTTAATTTTATAAATCCACTTACACCCAATAGGAACACGATCTGAAGGTGCCGGAACGAGATCCCATGTGTGTTGACTGATCAAGGCATTATATTCTTCATCCTTGCTAGGGGCGGCAGCTTTCTCGTCCAGAACAAGGGGTGGAGGAGGCACTTCTGAACCATCAACATATCCGAGGAGACGATGAGCGATGAGATTTGCACGAACCGTAGCAGACCAAGAAGGATAATTTGTATCATCAAGTTTGACCGGAGTTAGAGATTGAAGATTCCGGACAAATAATTTCAAACCCGTAGGCAGACGATCCATGGGATCAGAAGATTGAGCAGCCATGGCCGATTGGTGGAGATCGGCGGCGTGGGAAGACGAATCGGCTGGGCCGATTTTTTTTCTTTGTGTTATTGAGAAGGAAGAGACGGATCAATAAGCTCTGATACCATATTGAATTATGATTTCAACTCAAGGAAATAATTGTGTACAAGGTAGTTTATATAGATGGAGATTCCTACATCAATTAGAATTCTCCAAATATGGTAATTAACTATAATAACAATCCTTCTATAACTATAACTATTACCACACTTATCTAACAATAATAATAATAATGATACTAAATAATATAATCTTTATGTCATGCCGGATGTCGTTTGTCACGTCCACTACGTCTGGGCCTAGGCTCCTCTTGACCTGATGTGTCTGGCCCATACAAGTCCCTCGTCCACGCTGGGTGACCCATTAGCCGTATCATCCCCCCGGGTTAGACAACGACCTTGTCCTCAAGGTCCAGCGCTGGGTAGGACTGGCGAAGTATATCGACTGGCTCCAAGTAGCATCGTCAAGATCACCATCCGACCACTCAACCAAAGCTTGTTCCAGTAACTTGCCATGCTACAAAATTGTCTAACGACGGTGCACATGGAGCGGCTGGGACAAAGGCCTGCCGTTTACGAAGTCAGCTTGCAGGGGCAGAACCGATGATGTAGGAGAACCATGGAACGGTCGTAGACGAGAAACATGAAACATGGGATGCACGCGAGCAGTGGGCGGTAATTTCAGTCGGTATGCCACTTGGCCCACCCGTGCTTCGACCCCAAAGGGCCCATAATAGTGTCGGGACAACTTCGCTCATCGTCGACGGACCATTGAATGCTGCCTGTATGGTTGAAGTTTCAAAAGAACAAGATCACCAACAGCAAAAGAGAGATCACCAACGGCGGTGCTCGTCTGCCGTTGATGACCTCAGTCTGCCCATTAGTCTACGGATGAAAAGCGATACTGAGACACAAGGTGGTGCCACTGAGCCGAAGGGCCTCCGACGAAAATAACTGAAAATCCCCGAGAAGGTGGAAGACCCACAATAAAATCCATAGAAATGTCATCCCATACCTGCAACGGAATTGGCAACGATTGTAAGAGGCCGGCCGGGGGCGACGTAGAATACTTGGTAGCTTGGCAAACCAAACAGTCCTGGACATAACGCTGAACATCCGCACGCATACCCTTCCAGTGAAACGTCATGGCTAATCGCTGGAATGTCCTGTGCACACTACCCCCATGGCCCGCCATCGGAGCGTCGTGGTATTCCTGGAGAAAGGCCTGCTGGATAGCCGAGGTAGCCCCAATGCAAATGCAGCGGTGGTAAAAAATGATGCAATCAGTGATGGTATAAGGAGGGGGCAGTTTCCCCGTCGTCTGCGCTTGATGAAGGGCGACCAAATCGGGCTCGGTGAGGTTGGATTGGCGGATGGCTGCCATTAGAGTGGGTACCACATGAGAAGTGAACACCATGAGATCAGATTCGGAGACACTATTGTACTAGATGTGAAAGCGGAAGCCGAGGAGTTTCCGAACATAATACTGTTGGTCGGGAGTTTGAACCACCTGCTGGAGCAACTCTTTTAAACTGCGTTGGTCGGTACGGATAAGAAATTCCTTGCCAGGAGATATTGTCGCCATTTGTGGATGGCTTCAACAATGGCGAAAAGTTCTTTGTGGAAGCAACGAGTTTCCGAGGACCCAGCTTTTTGCTAAAAAAATGCCACGGGTTGCTCCATTCGTAGGAGTACTGCGCCGATGCCGGTGGCGCATGCATCTGTCTCAACAACAAAAAGGGTGGCAAAATCAGGCGTTCAAAGGCAGCGGCTGCCTCCTCAGCCCACCGAAAACCTTCATGCTTCAATAACTCGGTCAGGGGGCGGCCAAATGAGAGTATTGGAGAACAAAACGCCTAAAATAACCCGTGAGCCCTAAAAACCCACAAAGCTGCTTCACCGTCTTGGGGGGTGGCCAGGAAGTCATGGCTTCAATCTTGGATGGGTCGGCTTGCAATACACCAGCAGAGATGATATGGCCCAGGTAAGATATGGTCGGCGTGCAAAGAGTACACTTGAAGGTTGAGAAAAAATCAATTGTCACGTAGCAACGAAAGAACCGTGCGCAAGTGGTGAACTATTTCACTTTGACAATATATGACATTGTATATTTTCCTTCCATATTGTTTTTTAGTATTATATGTTAACATTATTGACATTACATTTATACACGTCACATATTTTACTTTGATTCCTTCTCTGTATTTTATTCTAATATTATGCGGAGTATATATTAGTCTTTCTCACTTATATAAATCATACAACAATTTTATATGACCATAATTAAATTGAATCACATCAATAACTTTTTAATATGAATGAACATCATTAGTCACCGGTTCATTTTTTGTGACATATCGTCATAACTTGTGGTTCTGCGACGTACGGTGCCTAATTTTCTTTGTTTGATTAGCCAAATGATAGATTACTTGTGTCAATTTTTAACTTTCCTTTTAGTTCACAACTCCACCCATATAATAGAAATATTAATGATCAAAATATTGTATTGAAAAACTGTAAACCATATTATTAAAAAGATATTAATGATCAAAATATTATATTGAAAACTGTAAAAAGTAAACATGAAAGAAACAAATACATGAGGCCAATGAGGTACTATTAATTAACAATATAGTCAGGCATGAAAAATCCCAATGAGACAACGGGAATATTAATTTCTGTCATAATAAATATATTCATCAATAATGATTTATAATAATGTACGATATATACATACTCCCTCCGTCCCAAAAAGATTTACACGTTTCAAAAAAATTGTGTCCCACAATCCCTTACCCATTTCCATTAAAAAACCATTTTTACCCCTTACTTTTTCAAACCCTACCTATCACATCATACCTTTTTTCTAATAATCTACACATCACATCCTACTTTTACTCATCACATCAAGGGTATTTTTGGAAATTCAACACAAAATTATCACTCCCTTAATTTCAACTTTAGTCAAAATGGGTAACACTTTATGGGATGGAGGGAGTATAAAACTACACATGCAGGCCTTGTATAGCGCATTTAGATACCCGCCCTATATATATCTTCCCAAACTCACCCAAAGAAAAGCACACACCATAGAAAATAACATAAGGGTAAAAAAGTATTTTTAAAAACTAGCCATATTTGCATCATGGAAGGTATCCTCATGCAAGGGGGAGAAATGGATGATATTATGGGTGCAGAGAGTCATGTTGAGTTTAGGGCTGACGTAGTGGCGGCGGATGGCAGTTGCATGGTTGGCGGCGGCGGAGAACGCCGCGTTGACTTGAAGGCTGACGTAGCTGGTGGCATCATCGGCGGCGGCAGAAGGAAGCAGACGGCGGTTAAGGAGTACCCGCCGCCGATGGAAGTGCGGCGGGAGATGAAGCGGAGATACACCAAGGACGGGAGGCTTGTCCTCACGGCGGAGCCCTCGGAGTTCTATGTTCTGGACGGCTCCGACAATCGGCTCCGCCGCCTCAACCTCCTTGGCATCAACGACGACGGGGAATACCCCGCTGTCGGAGATGGCAGTAGCTCGGGGACGATAGTGCCGAGTATACCCCCGCCGGGTCCAATGCCTGGCTCTTATTTTAGCTGAACAAAAATGTTTGTTATTAGTTAACTCGTTAATAAATGGTTGGGTTGATTAGGGGGGGGTATTTTGGGAATAAATAAATGGGCGGTGGGTGGGATGGTCATCGTCTTCGTGGTCGTTTTCAATAACTGAGTTCTGTTTTTCTATTTTATCATTTTGTTATAATTCCCGATGAAAAAAGAAAAGAAAACCATTGTAATGTGGTGAAATTGGATGTAATATAAATAAGGGTTCCTTTTGTTTTGCTCTGGCATCACGGGCGTGGTTAATTACATGCATGCAATTTAGTGCTAAAAAATCTCTTCCGGCCTTGGACAACAACCACTTCGATCATTTCTCACACAAAACTTGTTCTTTTTCAAAATAGGGCGCAAGAAATGTCAAAATGTGTAGAGCGTAAAAGATAACTAGTATAGATTCAAAATCGACTTAAGAAAAGTATAGACATCGTGTCCATGTTATCTGAATTAAAATGTTTTATGAGACGAGTACATACAACATAAAAGTAAAAAAAATTTACTAGACAGAAGAAATAGTTTATATGAGTCGATCTATTTGAGATATATAGTAAATGAAATTTTCAAGGGAATAATTCTTTTCAGAATAATTATGATTTTTTTTCGGTCAAAATTAGTAAATTTTGACTTCAAATTAGAAAAAAATAATTTTACGTATTAGATATTGATACAAAAATACTTTTATTAGATTTATTATATCATACTCCCTCCGTTATAAAAAATATTTCCTCTTTCATCTTTTTTACTTCCAACAAAAACTTCCACTTTTTATTAAAAAACTACTTTTACCCTTACTTTTTCATCTCCTACATATCACATCATACTTTTTTTCTAATAATCTATCCATCACATCTTACTTTTACCCATCATATCAAGGGCGAAATTGGAAGTCAAGTACAATTTAACACTTTCTTATTTTTACACTTGGTCAAAATAAGAACTCTTTTTTAGAACGGGGGAAGTATTATTTTATCTAATTACTATACAATATATATATTATTTAATTATAAGTCAAATGTTGAAAATAATTGACCAAAAAATTGAAACTGAACAAATCATCAGAGACGAAGATAGTACATCATAAGTATGCACCAACACTTTGATGGTTCATATTAGTATAAAATGCCGGTGCAATAAAAAAAATCTATATTAATATTTTGGGTCCGTAAGAACTATCAAAATATCAACACACACCTATAATATACTCTCTCCTTTCTCAAAAGCACTTTCTCTTTCATTTTTTTTTCACTTCCAACAAAACACTTCTACTTTCTATTAAAAAACCACTTTTACCCTTACTTTTTCATACTCTACCTATTACATCATACTTTTTCTCTAATAATCTATCCATCACATCTTATTTTAACCATCACATCAGAGGCAAAATTGGAAGTCAACTATAATTTAATACTTTCTTATTTTGGCTCCAAGTCAAAGTAAGAAGTTTTTTTGCAAACGGAAGGAGTATAATTTAAAATATAATCTTTGGGATACAAGTAGCTTTGAATACTCCTGTGTATAAAAAATATACTCCCTCCGTCCCTAATTAGATTACAATATTCCCTCTTATTTTTGTCCCAAAAAAAATTACAAAGTGTTTACTTTTATACTAAATGGACTCTTTTACCCTCCCTCCCCTTTATCATTTCATTGTCAAAATCTCACCCACCCACCCATTCCTGTACTATTTGGGGGGTAATTTGGGGAAAAAATATTGATTTGACTCTTCCTTAATTTTGTCTAAAAGAAAATATTGTAATCTAAAAAGGGACGGAGGGAGTACAAAGTATGTTGCACTCCAAATGGGCCCTTAAAACTGCATAATAAACCTTTTTTTAATTAAGGATAAAAAATCTTCCAGAAACACTTCGGTTGGTCCATAAACGATACTCAGCCCATTAAGCCCCATCCGCAACCACAAACCGGGAGCACCACACAAAGCCCCGGCGGCGTCGCAACCCGCTCCTCCGTCTCCAATGGCGTCTTCTCTCTCGTTATTACTCTGTCAGCCTCACGGCGGCAGCATCTGCACCCGTCTCCCGAAACGATGTTCCTCCTTCAATTTCGGAATCCTCTTCTCGAAGCCCCTCCGTGCGAACCATTTCACCGCCCACTGCCTCCACAGCGCCGCCACGCCGCCACCGTCGAGGAGTTCAGCAGCGCTCTCCGCGGAATTCTCCAGAAGCTTCTCCCACTGTCAATCTCGCTCTTCCCTCCCTAACAGGGAGCAGATCCCAAGCCTCCACCACTTCGTCCCCAAAGCCACACCTTCAATCACTGGAACCATCCATGCCTCCGACATTCACGCAAAGTGAGATTTACCCTTTTCCATTTTCTTCTGTTCATAATCTAGAATGCTAGTTTTGATGTTAATAAGGAATTGGAAAGCTCACATCACTGTTAGGAGTTTAGGATAGTGATATTTTCACTAAATAGTACTAAAACATAAGTCATTTCCGAAGTATTTAAACTTTTTTATTCTCTAAATAGTACTTAATAATGTTTACTGAGAATAATGACTAATGGATGATGACCAATAGTCCTATATTGAGAAATAAAAACATATGGTCCCATATTGAGAAAGTCATTATGTTTTAGTCCTATTTACATAAATTCCCCTTTAGGATATTAGTACCATTTCTGTGAAATATCTAAACCTTTTAAACTTTGTAAAGTCAAACTGTGAAAGGTTTTTTTGCGACAGAGGGTGTGTGTGCGCGCGCGCGTGTGCAGATTTTGTCTTTATTTCCTATGGAGTAGATATTATCAAAGTGAAAATGCAAGTCAAAACCTATTTTTATTGTTTCGTCTTAGTCGGGAGACAACGGCATCTGAAGTTCTTCCAAGAGGTCGGATATACCATGAAACGTATGGATGCCAAATGAATGTGAATGATATGGAGATAGTTTTGTCCATAATGAAGAAAGCAGGATACAATGATGTTGTGGATGTTCCAGAGAGTGCAGAGATTATATTTATAAACACATGTGCTATAAGGGACAATGCGGAACAAAAGGTTTGGCAGAGGCTAAATTACTTTTGGTTTTTGAAGAGGCAATGGAAGACCAATGTTTCCACCGGAAGGTCTCGGTCTTCACAGCCTCCTAAAGTAGTTGTTTTGGGGTGTATGGCCGAGAGGTTGAAGGAGAAAATACTAGATGCAGAAAAGATGGTTGATGTAGTGTGTGGGCCCGATGCTTATAGGGATCTTCCCCGACTACTAGAAGAGGTCGATTACGGCCAGAAGGGAATCAACACTCTCCTTTCACTTGAAGAAACATATGCTGATATAACCCCCGTCCGCATATCCAAAAACTCAATTAGTGCTTTTGTTTCTGTCATGAGAGGCTGCAATAATATGTGCTCTTTTTGCATTGTCCCTTTCACAAGGGGTAGGGAGCGCTCCCGTCCCGTGGAGTCAATTGTGAGAGAAGTTGGGGAGCTTTATAAGGAAGGTGTCAAAGAGGTGACACTTCTTGGTCAAAATGTAAATAGCTACAACGACACGTCTGGTGTACAAATGGAGGTTCCTCAACCGGGACCCGACTGGAAGCTGAGTGAAGGATTTTCAAGCAGATGTAAAGTAAAACATGTGGGTTTGCGGTTTGCTGATCTTCTCGATAGACTTGCAGTAGAGTTCCCTGAGATGCGGTTTAGATACACGTCCCCTCATCCAAAAGACTTTCCTGATGAGTTACTTTACGTGATGCGAGATAGATACAATATCTGTAAGAGCATTCATCTGCCTGCACAATCAGGGAACAGCACAGTTCTTGAAAGGATGCGGCGAGGGTATACACGTGAAACGTACCTTGATCTTGTGCAAAAGATACGGGAAATTATTCCTGACATAGGCATAAGCAGTGATTTCATATGTGGTATGGGTTCCTTGCTTGCTTTTGTATCATATAGTCATTTGTATGTTTGAGAATGCCAAAGATATTCCGTGCAATTTAGCATCTGGACCGTGTTATGTGGAATCTAGTCTTCATCTATAATTACATTATAACTAGGTTGTCAAATATTTTCAATTTGGGAGCATATACTTGGAAACAACCTCTCTACCACCAAGTAGGGGTAAGGTCTTTGTACCCACCTCCCCAAACCATACTTTTTTTAGGGATTTGTTGTTGTTGAGCATATACTTTACATTTCCAGGATCACCACGTGTCTGGAACTAAGAAATGCTAGAGAAAGAAAACAGGGAGGCAAATAGAGAAATTTGGGATAACACAAATCATTAATCATTACCCATTCTTGTACATTCACCCATGAAGAGATTGTGAACTCCCATTTTGAAAAGCAAATACCCAGTGTAATTGGTATAGCTGAAAAGAGTGCTCTAGACAATTTCTAACGTTTATCCAAATTTGTTCCTACTTCCAGGTTTTTGTGGCGAAACAGAGGAAGAGCACAAAGACACAGTCAGCCTGATAAAGACTGTCGGTTACGACATGGCATATTTGTTTGCCTACAGCATGAGGGAGAAAACGCATGCCCATAGAAAATATGTGGATGACGTTGCCGATGATGTAAAGCAGAGAAGGCTCTCAGAATTGATTGAGACTTTCAGGGAGAGTACAGGGGAGTGCTATGACTCCAAAGTGGGCACTCTCCAACTGGTGCTAGTCGAAGGCCCCAACAGAAGAGCCCCTGACACAGAGCTCACAGGCAGGAACGATAGAGGCCACCGTGTGTGCTTCCCAAATCTATGCATCGCTGATAAGGTAGAGAACAACGGGAATCGGAATGCGAAAGTGGGGGATTATGTTGAAGTGCAGATAACGAAATCCACAAGAGCATCGCTGTTTGGAAATGCAGTTGCTATTACCAAGTTGAGTTCTTTCTACGACTTTTTTCGTGAAGAAGCTGTTGCTTGTGCGAGCTCGAGTTAGCTTTATCTTCATGTTCTTCAATGTCTGCTGTCAAGTGATAGCAAGGTAACTTTTCCATATACAAAGTACTGACTTTTTTTTTACGGCCTTTGATTGAGAGTTGTGATTTATGCTGTACAAATAAAGAAGTTTTTACTTTTGTATGTTGTAAAGAAATTGTGCATACGTCAATTTGGTAATGTGTTATTTTTGTTCTAATCTTAATGGTGTCTTAGAAAGCTTGATTTTATATTTGGACAGAGAGAGTATATTATATAGTATTGGTGTTGATACCCATATTGGACCAACCCAAATGTACCAAAGCTTATTCTACCAAGCCAAGCTTTGAGCTGGCGTGGCACGAGTCGGGTGCACCCGATCTCGAAGTGAGGTCCGTCATGAAAATGAATTGTGACAACCTTAAAAATTTTCCTCCTTCAAACCTGTGTAGTAGATCGAATTCTAAATATATTGAGATGTTCTTAAAGCTTTTCCCTCATTACTATAGTTAATAATTACGGTATTTATAATTTTCTTATATTTGTGGCTCACTATTGTGATTTGATGAATTAATGTCTACTCCGATAGTCGGGTCCTTTTTCTGTCTGGTCGGATTAATTTCAATAAAAATAAGTGAATGTTCAGTAATAAGAATAAGAATTATTTAGAAGAAAAGACGCTCTTCGATATGCCCAGTTTGTCGATTATCATTGTGACACACCCACTACCCTTTTCATGAAAGAAGATAAGTTGCCGACATAGTTGGCAAGATAATCTGTGTATTTGATTCGTGTCAGTTGACTAGTTCTGACTTCTGGACCCTCGGGGATAGGATTTAATTTTTATAAGAAAGAAAATAAGGGAAGTGTTTTAAATTTACTCCGTAAAGTAAAGAAAAAAAAATGAATGTGAAATTTATTTTGTAATGACCTGAATTCAATAATTGTATTGAACGATTTTACCTCCCATTACAAGAATTTGGTCCACATGCGCCATTCTATATGGGCGGGTTTGTTATATGGCCCAAGTCACTCCAGTTTCGTTACCCCGAAACGCTGCGAGAGCCGGCGCAAATCAGCACCATTCGCCGCCGTGACCCGCCGCATCATGTCCGAGCTGCAGCCCTTCTCGTCATGCCTATAAGAGATCTGACCCTTCGACGCATCAATACGGTCATTTTCCATCATCCGAAGCTCTTCCGCGACCTAATCGCTGTTCCACCTCTGAGCAACGGGATGGCCGATAAGGCGAAGAAGGAAGCCCCCTCAGATCCAGAAACGGCTGATACGAAGCATTTTGTGGCGGAGAAGGCGCCGGAGGAGCCAAGGAAATCAATTCCTCCGCCGCCTGAGAAGCCGTTGCCGGGCGATTGCTGCGGCAGTGGATGCGTCAGATGCGTTTGGGATGTTTACTACGAGGAATTGGAAGAGTACAACAAGAGTCACAAGAACAGCCCCGATTCTTCTGTTAAACCCTCTTCGAGTATTTGATCTTTGTGCATCTCCTTTATCATATCTGGATTGAAATTAGTTCATTGTCCTGGAGTTTATTTCTTCAATCTTCATAAAGCTCCAGAAATTCAATGGAGTTTACCCTCCATACACTGCATTAGGATCATCAAGGGTCTCATTTCGGCCGGGATGATTGCCATTGATACATATGAGCTGAATGAAGGTTGTTGGTTTGTGAACCTTTAACCTTAGCCTCTTCGAGACCACGTTCTTCAGTGCCGTCTGATGATTCTTGGCTCTCAAACACTTGGAATTTCTTGATCTGCCATTTGTTTAACATTAATCTCAGAGAGAGTCTTCCATGGCAATGCTAGCTTTTTCATGGAAGCACAGAGGGTTGATCCCTTGATGTTATCTTGGGATTGATTGTTACTTATGCAGGCGTGGAAAGGATCAGAAGCTCAAACCAGCTCTGAGAGAGGCGTTGATAGCATCTCCAACACTATTAGGTTCATTTAGTTTGCTTTTGGTACAAAGAGGTCCCAAACTTTTATCTCATTTTTTATCAATTTAGGATCTTCATGCTACCCAAATTTACTTTAATCCCTCGGCCCCAAAATGAGGTTTAACATTATACGGACTATTGTTTTGTGAGTCACACATATTTCTTTCTTTAATAGGCAGGGAAGGACATGCCCATTGCTTATGGAGCTAAAATAGTCGTAACTGACAATGTTCTCCCTTCGGGTAAACAATGGTCTAAATTGTATACTTGTGTGATAAGAAGGCAAAGAACTGTATACTTTATTTTGGGAGACTCAAAGAAACAAAAATGTAAGCTTTATTTTGAGATGGGTGAGTAATTTTTATTTAGGGGATGTTTATATCGAGACTGAGTGAGTAGTTTTCATTTGTGTAATCTCTTTTAAGAATCCGTTTGGCATCAGTGTTAGAGATTAGCGTTAGCGTTTTGAAAAGACTATCCGACGGTAGCCTTTAGCGTTAGCGTTTTCAAAATTAATCTACATCATTAAAATTTTATCCAAAACGCTAACGCTAATTGAAAACGCTATTCCCAAACAAGACCTAGGCTTCGTTTGGTAACAGCGTTTTTGATTAGCGTTAGCGTTTTGGACAAAATTTTAATGGTGTAGATTAAATCTAAAAACGCTAACGTGAAAGGCTACCGTCGGATAGCTTTTTGAAAACGCTAACGATAATCTCTAACGTTGATGCCAAACGGGGCCCTAAGTCATATTTCCTCTAGTTTTTCTTCTCGACTTCCGTGGAAGGTTCACAAAGGGACCTTGTATTAGGCCTTTTTTTACCACTAGTACCCATATTTGTCCCTGGCTGGGCCATACTTTTTCTTGGAAAGAGTTTCTCTACTTTCGAATAAGAGTAAGTTCTGCGTACGCACATTCTCTCCAAATCAAATTTTGTTATATTGAATTGGATTATTGTTGGTATTTCAAACACATTTTTTTTATATATACTACAGTAGTAACGTTTTCTAATTTTGAAGCTCTTAGCCCCTTTTTCTAATAAATTCTTCCATTTTAGTCGATCTATCTCAAAATAAATTTTATATTTCTATTTTTCGTGCATCTCAAAATAAATCCAACAGGTATTTTTTTATGAGTATCTATTTACGATATTTTTTTCGTCTAAACAAATTTTAATGTGTCATTTCTCCTGATTCTTGAGTAGTGGTCCGTATTAAAGTAAAAGAATGGCTTATATGGCACACAATGCACTGCAGATGGTCTTAGGCATCCCAATCTCCCTTTACTTATCTCTCTTTCTTTGTCTGGTAGTGAGTGGTGTGTATCACCAAGTTAAGGTGTGTGTGTTTGCTGACTCATAAACAAATACAAAATGTCTACACCAAAACTATAGTAACATTTCGTACAATCGTATCTAATTTTTGATCCGCAAAATCTAGTTGTTCTGCATCTTCTAGAACTCTCTCTCTTTTCCACAAACTAAATTCTTTTTTTGATTTCACGGTATTTTAAAAAAACGGTAGGGTTCTAATGACATCGGAGTACGGTGACAACCCGGTGCCTCTGTCATTTTAGGACACTTCCAGTGCTCTATTCTTAAAATTGATTGTTCCTATCCCGCCCATGCACCCCACCCCAACCCTGCCGTAAGCCACCCACAAAATGTGTAGCTATTATGCAATACATAATAGTCAAACATTTTGTGGGGGGCTTACGGCGGGGATGGGGTGGGAGTGCAGGGGCGGGGTAGGGTGGGGGTTTAGAGGGTGGATTAGGAGGGTATGAACCGTCAATTTTAAGAACGGAGCACTGTAAGTGCCTTAAAATGATAGTGGCACCGCTAGTGTTACCATACATGAGTGTCACTAGAACCTCACCGTTAAAAAAATGTTAAAAAGTGTGCAATAAAACTTTGTTTGGGAGAAAAGGAAAGGAGTACAAGTCTATTTTGAGATGAATAAAAAGGAAAAATATGAATTTAATTTGCGAAAAGATTTAGTTTATGAGTTGTACTTCTGTAATTTTAATTAGATTCACATTTGAAATTTGCACTTACGTTTTTTCATAAGTTTAGAGGTGAATCTTTTCTATTTTTAAAAAGTCCAACTATTAATGTTCATAAGAATTTTCGTTAGTGTATTGCTCCCTAGTCCCTACTACATTCCTCACCACACTCTGAGCCAAAATAACAATAAATACCTATTTCTCATCTTCAATAAAACCTAGGCCAAACAAGATTTACTAGTTCCATTGAACATTGTTTCTTACTCCCTCCGTCCCCAATTTAATTACAAATTTCGGGTTACGGAGTAAAATTTCTTACTTTTTGAAATCATTTTATTTACAAATCGGTATATCAATAAAATATAAAAATTACATATTAAAAAACTACGTCAAAAGTTCTACAAAACAAGAGGTATAAGAATATTTTATTTTATCAAATACTTAATGAAATCACGTAAACAAACAAAAGTTATCGAGATGAGAGAGAAAAAAATTGTAATCTATTTAGAAACGGAGAGAGTATATTTTTGTTAAATTAGATTCATACTCGTGTGTTGCTTGCTTGCATAAATAAGCAATATGTTACGGAATATAAAATATAAAAAAATGAGAACTTTATAGAATAAATGTTTAGAATCAGATTTAAATATAGAATTAAATTTAAATCAACATGACCTGTAACTATTTTTAAGTGCTATTGACTTTATTATAATATAGTACGGAGTATATGTTTATACATTTTCTCAATCTAATGACACACAAAGACCGAATGCATTTGCCTCCGTTAGGGCCTGAACTTGGGTGAACTCACTCAAACTAGGGAAAAGTTCGACCTATAATTATTTAAGTTAACGTAAAGTATATAAAATAATTTCAAATAAAAATATTTCAAAGAAATCTTAGTGAAAATACATATTGAAAAGCATATTATCATTTCCAATTCTCTACATACTATAGGCATAACAATTCAAAAGATAAGAGTAATGGTGTTCGTCTAGTGAGTAAAAATACTGCGAGACTTTAGCCTAAAATGAACGATATCATGCCAATGTGAGATTGAAATAAAGGTACACGCCGTAGCAGTAAATATGATAATCTCTTCAGAAAATAATTCCGTACAACTTCAAGGAGAAGAATTGTGTGACATGTCAATGATTACAAATTAAAGCAATGAATTATCAAAATGACTTGAGCACAAAGTGCATGCATAGAATTCATCGAGGCATTTTGACGGACAAATAAAGTAAAATTTTGAATTAATAAACTTATCATTTAATCACTATTTGAAAAACATTACTCAAATTTCACATGTATCCACAATTTAAATAAAACAATTACAAAAAAAAGTAATATAATAATTAAACTGATATTTCTTAGTCTGTGGTTAGTGTCATCATCTTTTGACTATTGAATATGAGGACGAAATCTAATTCCACATTTTGCCAGCTTAAATTACGGACATCTATTTTGAGAACCACCAATGATTTCTGCTTATATTGCCACGGTTTATATAAAGGATTTGAATTTATGGTTTGATTTTTGCATTGTGTGTTGATTGAAAGTCATTCCCATGGCTTAATTTGAATTGATTATTTATTATGCAAAACTATGGCAGCGTTCCGTACAATTTATTTTTCTGCTTATTACTTTTTCTTATTATAATCAAATCAGATTAGTATTAGCATTAATCATAACTACAATCAGATTAGATCAGAACTTCAAAAAATTAAATTAGATCAGGCGAACAAAAGACAACCTATGTTTTGATCGAAGATATGTACCTACATAAGGGAAAAAATATCTAGGTCTACAGTTTTTCACTTTCTTTTTCTAAAGAAATGGATATTTAGGTCGTATAATTTCCGCCTCTTCGAAATAATCTTTAATCAAATGCCGAGTAATTTTCATTTTTCGCCAAGCATCTTTCCTTACCCAATTTTTTAAATATAGATTTTATGAAATCTAAGTGTAACTTCATCTATAAAAAATTGAAGTTGAGGACTTATGACTAAGGGATGTTTTTCGTCAAAAACCTATTTACTAGAACTAGATTAGAAATGTTCAGATCACAAGACCTGCTCCACCTCCTTCCGGCTGCCGCCGAATGCGATCTCCTCCGCTACCCTATCAAATCAAATTAAACTTTAAAAAATTTCACATAAGAACTAAAACTACATTTATTGATCCATATTTTTGCACAACTCTTGACTTTGCCCTTTCACACAAAATGCCAAAGCACATCTTGGGAAATTGCGCGCGGCCCTGGGTACTAGTTGCATTTCCTCATATCCGCCACATTTGTCCTTTTGACTTTGCCATTTTTATTTGAGAAAATGTTTTTCTCATTTAAATTTTTTTTATCAATTTTTGAAAACATTGACTCCGATATGTGAAAAAAATATTGTATTATAATATAAATTTAATATCAATTAATTTTATTCAAACATAGTTTTGAAATATCTAATTTATATAAAATATTTCTATTTATAAATGTAGATATTAATCGTCAAAGTGCAACATTGGGGACATCAAAAACTCAAATTAGAAGAATATTTTCGTATGGGGGATACATGGCCATGGAAATATGGAATAACTAAAGGAGAATATATATTGCCAAAATTTGTAGTTGTGGTTCAGAAAAATATGAAAAGGTCATAAGTTCTCATTTATTTTTGTATCTCATGCGGAATACTCAATCCATTCTTTATTAATTTATAATTATGTATTTCGTGATAGATTAAAAATAAATGAATGTAGTCTTAAAGTATCTCTATATTAATTAAACAACACCCCTCGCTCCTATGCCTTATTTGAATTCCAAAGATTTGTGGTAGAAAGTAAATGTGCTTACAAGTTACATCCTTTCAAAAGAGAGAAAAAAAGTAAAATGTGCTTACACAAGTTGAAAGAATCCGACAATTATATCTATTCCAGTCCCTAAAAGTAAACACATTTAATATTGAACATTTGAACTGTCAAATTTGTAAATAAAACTTGGTAAATAAATTTCTTTCATTATTATTACATGTCTTACATGCACCATTAGTCAAAAAAGAAATATACTAATGATGGGTCTGTTTTCAAACTTCATTCATATTGTTAATGATTTTTTAAAAGGGATTTTGAATAATTTTGGTGTTTTTCATTGTCAAAAGCAGATTAGTACTTATTTAAATCAATTTTTGTTAGAATATAAGTTCATTTTCTAGAACTACAACCACAAACTTAACTTTTTAGTTGATTCGATTTTTTGACACTATATATTTTTATTTGAATAATCACTTGTTTATCTCTTTAAAACAAAACAAAAAACTTAGTTAAAAAAACACATTCAC